CTACATGCTATTTTAACGATCTACCTCTACATGCTATTTTAAGTTTAACAATCTTACCTTTACATGCTGTTTTATCGATCTGTTACTTAAACGAATTGAATAATGTCGGATTACGATATTTGAAAGCTTTCTTTCTAACAGCAGTGTTGTATCACGATATTTTTTTATATGTATTTAACCTATTGATTAACCAAGTCACATTCTGTCTGGTGGTGGGCAAAATACAGGTAGATGAAACAACACTAATCATTTCTGACTTTCAACCATTTTGCCCTAATAAATACTATTGTGGGTATATTGTTGTTGTTTTTCTTCAATTAAAAATACCATGAGCAAGGAGTGAATATATTAAGATGTGTTCGTATTAATACGTGCAAAACAAATGAATGTATTTCAGCTTTTAAATTTGAAATTTTCATTAAAAATCAAAGATATATAACGAAGAGCGTAATAATTACGCAACAAAAACAAACAAACGAAAAAAGATATAATTTTTCATTTAAAGCTGTAATGCATGACGTAGTATATAGAAAAAAGAACATTGGAAACTGTTAAATTTCTGAATAATACCTCTTACTGGTCCAATCAGAAGAGATGAAATACAATGCAAACTAATAAAGCAGACTACCAACAGTAACAAATCTCCAAACATATCCTCCAATATTCAGAGAGCCTCTGTTCCATCTGGTTGTTTGGCAACATGCTGTTTTAGCAAGGAATATATGTAAAAATAATCAGTTGTTACAATTTCAGCCAAAAATGCTACTTTTGTGATATTGTGTGACTTGCATAGTAAATTCTAGTAAAGTTTTGTATTTTGTGAATATTACCATAAAAGTCTAGCTAAAATCTAAAATAGAGGTTGGGTAACATAATTGTTTTATCCTATCTTAATAACCGACATAATTTAATATGTTTTTAATTTGGGGTTATGGACTACCAAGTCAGTTGTCTTGCACATTTTGTATAAGTACATACACATTTTTTTTTACAGTTCAATCCTTCAGATTTTTAACACAGAGACAGGTGAAGTTCCTTACCTGGGGCCCGGCATGGCCAGGTGGATAAGGCGCTCGACTCGCAATCTGAGGGTCGCGGGTTCGAATCCCCGTAAC